TCTGGTGTGTCGGGTGGGTCTTGTGGTTTGCTCTATATGTCCGTCGCTTCAATTGACTTGGACAGGCTGCGCTTCGCGCTGAATCCAGACATGTGCCAATTAGTGGACCACGGTCTCTCCAAAGGAACCGACAGAACCTTCTTGGGATGTAATTTTGCTTCTACCAGGTAGCAAATTGGCTACATTGGCTCAAAAAATGCCTTACATGGGCAACAGGCAATAAACTGTGTGGCAAGTCTCAGGACTACTTCAAGTACTTGGACTCCTTGGGGGGGTTTTGGACCTACCGCTGGGGCGACCACGCGGTCCGCACCTTGGGACTGGGCCTGGCCTTGTGGGAGGAGCGGAAAGGGAGCTGGAACGACCGGACGTGACTTTGCAACCCAAAGAAATGCGGAGGGTCACTGCTCCTCCGTTGGCTTAAGCATCATTGGTTTATTTTCCCTTGGTGGTTTGAAATGGGACCCATCACTATACAGGACAGATGCTTATTTTCGGGATCGCTGCTGGGGTTGTGGCCGAACTCCTTGCAGGATTTCGTCCATCCACTGTATTGATCAGAGGACTCACCTAGGAAGAACTGATGAACCACCGAAATTCAAGCCGCACTGAGTAGTATGGCCAAAGTTGACATCACCCGAAGCACTTGTGAAATCCAAAAGGAGGACGTTTCGAACAAACAAGTGCTTGACCTACTATAAATACCCAAGTGCATGCCATGCCTCCGTTATTAGTTGAGGTTGACATTATACCGTCAAGCATGGGTGGGCATAGCAAAGTGACACCCTCCAAATCAACTCCAAAAGTTGCAATTTCGGGTTCTAAAGTATGTGTTTATGTTTTTCCCGGGTTGAGTAGGGTTTTAAACGCAGGTTCACCCCAATTGGTGGTTTGGATTGCTGATTTTGTGATTTGAACCTTCGGCTCTTGTCAGAGGCTAGCTGGGAATCAACCCGAACTGGTGAGTTAGAAGTTGGTTGTTTGCAGATCTGAACCTGTAGTTCTTGTAGAGGGCCAATGGAAACATATATGGAACTGGAAGCACTACCGGAACGCGATAGCACCCATAAGCCAATCCAAACCAATCCAAACCAATCCAAGAAGCCGTCGATTTTTCCCAGCATTTTCCAGCTGCTTCCCATGTCCAAGATCCTTGGCGTCGACGCTTCGGTAGGAGGATCGCTGGTCCTGGGAGCAGGGAGCTACCCCCGGCAGGGGCAGCCTTGGCTGGCCCAGGGTGTTCCAGCGGCTCGGAGAAGTCTCACGCCCCGAGCCCCTGGACTTGGCGCCAGTGTTGTCTTTTTTAAAATATTGCCCTAACACGGTTGTCGTTGGGAAACCAAGTTACATTTTTGCTTATTGTGGTTTAGTGGTTGAAGTCCCCACTGAACTGCTAAAATTTATTTTTTTGCTCCCCAAACCCAACGTCACCCAAGCTAGCGGCGAGAACAATTCTTTCCGGGACGATCATTTTGGTAGCAAGGAACAATCAACTCGGACTGTGGACCATTCCGCGCAGTGAGTTGGAGTGGCTCCGAAGGAACCTTCTGATCCATTTTTTTGTCCGAAGGGTTCTGGTTGAACCTTGGGGGGAAGGGGGGGAAGAGGGGGCCTTAATTTCAGAAACCAGCCCTTCTTGGGGCTTCCGATGGCTTTCTGAAAGGATCCCTAGCGAGAATATAAGAATGGGGAAGTGGTCCCTGAATTTGTTGCGCTCATCGCTTGGTACATCCACACCCTGAATGTATAGCCCGGGTCCCATGGGTAAAAGGAACGCAGCGCACAACAACTTCCACACACTTGCATCACATAGCATCCATCATAAACCCTTAAGAGGGGCTATGGGGAGGGAGGTGCTATCCCTTATTAAACCCTTAATAAGGCCTTATAAAAGGGCTTATCCTAGGCTTATCCAGGGATAGCCGAACATAGCCCTTATTAGGGGTTCATGGGTCCAAGATCCTTGCGTTCAGTGGGCCTTGTCGTTGGAATCCGTGACAGGCTTGCCTCAACTTACTCTACTAGTACCAGGTTCCTCGAAAGGATGCCGGATGGGGCCAGTCAAAATAAGTCACCTTTGACCAGTTGATATAGAGGACCCCCTTGCAAAGCATGCTTATATTTGTATGTATATATATATATATACATACATATTTTTGTTGGTATCCTTTCAGGGCCCCAGTTATCAGGCTACCAAGTCTTAACCCAGTTCTCCAGTGGCACCCTGTTCTCTTTGTGCCGCGGCCGGGGGCAAAGCCAAGGTCGGGTTCCAAGTTGCTTCTAGGTCGGGTCACTGGGCACCTGGGAGATGCCCATGGGATCAAAACTAGGTCCCCCAGCAGAGAAAAAAAGGGTACCCTTATTCTAACCTCTCAAATCTGGAGGACCTAGAAGAAGCAGGGAGGCAGGACATGTGTACCGACAGGTTCTGGGAGTGGCTACGGCTTAGGGCTTCGGGTGAATTTAGTTTGGCAATTCTATGGCGAGCTGAGGTAGCAAAAACTAGGTCCTTTACTCGAAGATCCCAAAACGAATGAACCAAACCGATGGCTTTGCAATGCCCCTGCCATTTGTAGAGCAAGGGAACATTGGATTTAACTTGTTGGTTAGAGGGGGTGTCACATTGGAGAGGGATTCCGAATCACTTCTGGGTGGGGGACCCTTTTTTATGCACATGGCTCATGACTCCTGAATTGACATACGGAGAAACCACCATCGAACCGCACAACCGCAAGGGTCCCTGTCGACGACGTACCAAATGGCCATTTGTGACCCCCTCCTTTGACAAATCCAGACCATCCTCAATCCTCTGGCACACTAAGTTTCATACTGGACCCTATCTACCTTTTGGGCTTGGACCATTTGAGTGGCAAACGAAACGTTTAGACTCTTGGGCCCACAGGAAGGGAGTCCTATTGCAATAAAACCCTCATGGCGACTTGGTTCCGAAAGCTCCGTGGCTCGCGACGTTAGGCTGGACCTGCCCTATGCACATCAAGACTTTTGTCACTGCGAACGAGGCCGAAGCGGAAGCCTCGTTCGAGGGGCAATGGTTCCAGCCCAGGACATTCACGCGTATGCGAACCTGTACTTATATAAAGGTGTAGTTATGGGTAGGCGCAATTCTGCGCCAGCAGCGATAGATGAAACCCTACTAATGAAACCCAAGTGGCGCAGCATTCTGTCCATCGGACTTTTTTTCGGGGAGAAGTCGCCTACAAACTGGTGCGAAGTGTTGTCAATTTACAGTATTTGCAGGGCTTGGGTTGTGGGCGGCTCCTATCGGGTTTGGAGGGCATTGATTTTAGGTGGTCGGACATGCATTTGGGCGTTCTTTTTGTTGGACACCAGTTGTTGGATTTAAAGGCAAGCATGCAGATATCAGAAAGCTAGTTCTTTTTGGTCCCCTTTCGAAACAGACCCATATGCTTCACATTCCAAACAACTAGCTTCCCTCCGTTGCCATGGCAAGAGAAAATCAATCTTGGGCATTCTGGTGCCTTTTTTTTGGGTTACTGCGCACGCGCAGTGACCTTTTGGGTGGACCGATGGGGCGTTGCCGCAGGCTGCAAGTTGATCCACGACCCCAAGAACGGGCTCATCGCTGAAGCGCTGCGGGGCATCCGTAAGAAGTTCTGGACCTGCTAGGGCTTCAACGTGCCACACGTTGCTGCGAAGCAACCTGCAACTTTCAACCAAAAGCAAGCCAAAAGGGGGAGGTCTCGGTTGTTGAGCTTTGATTTGGCTTAAATAGGTTTGGAGTTGGCCTGTCAGCTTGCCAGCTGCCTTCCGGATCGATCCCAGAGCTAAAGAGATCAGCCGGATCCACAAAAAGGGCACTGAGCTTAAGCTCTTTTTGGCATACTGGATGCTCATTTTGGGGTGATTCCTCGTGGGCAGTTTCAAGGTCCAGGTGCAGAGCCGGATGGCCTTGGCAGGTCGCGAGTCAAGGGCTGCAGATCGTGGAAAAACGATGCGCTGGGTACTGGACGAGCCACGCCTAAGTAATTTAAGTCTGGAATTCGGGGGCATACCCTTTACGGAGAAATGGGCAAGAATGTTTGGAAAGAGAGGGAGGGGGGGAGGTCTGCATTTTAGGTGGGGGCCACAAGTGAGGTCGATCCAAAACCCGAACATTTGTGGTAGTATTCTCGAGGAAGTATCATTCTGAAAATGTTGCGTTCCCCTAGGCCGCGTCCCAAAATTGTATTTTTTTCCCGCGTCCGGTTTCTCCGAAATTCTTCTTTTTGCCTGCGTCCGAAAGCGAAAACGAGCTGCAAACCCATATCTCAATGCGTGAAAGTCACACAAGAGCAATTGCCTCATCAAAACCTCTCGCGAAAGGAACCTGCCACGACAGCTCCGCAAAAGCCTATCTCTCTCTCTCTCTCTCTCTCTCTCTCTCTCTCTCTTCGGCCGCAACCGGGTTTACAACACCGCCTGAATTGCATTTTGTTTGAGAGCGGGGGGGGGGGCAGGTGGCAGGCATGTCAGTCATGTGTCAATTTGAGACCCACGAAATTCCTACAAAAGCCACGAACACTTCCTAATTTGCCGCTGTGCTGGAACAGCATATTTGGCCTGTGGCTCGCATGCACAAACAATTGAAAGATAAATTTGAGAGTGTCACGTGAGCTAGTTACCGCTGGTTCTGCCGCTGCCTGTTTGGCTATTTTTGCGGGGTCAGGAACTGAAGGGCTCAATCTGTACGATGTTCCAAACGAAAAACAAAGCCTTGGCGGTTCAACGACAACTTTTCTCCCCGGGACTAGGCATTCTACTTTTTGACTTTTTGGGAAGTTTGTTTTAGTGGCAACGACCAGTTTGGACTTTTTGTTGGCCAATGCACTCAGGAAGTGCGTTACTCCCAGATAAAACCCCAAGTGCTATCCAAGCTGTTGGAGGCCACGTGTCTTCAGAATACCTGGACGGACGCGAGTGGCTCAAGCGCACACGCGAGGTCCCAAGATATGGAGGTGTCCTGACACTTGTTGGCTGTCAACATCACATTTCAGCATGACTAGGTCCCCCAGTAGTGCCCAGTAGTACCAACTTTTTTTTGGGGAGGGTTCCCCTATGTTCCCCTACATCCTACTAAAATAGACTACCGAAGAAAGTTGGTACCCTTTTTCTAACCTCTCTCCTGGAGGACCTAGATGAGGAAACAGGAAAACGCACACACACACACATACCAACGAGAAGCAAGCAACGACGTACTAGGGGCCTCCACCCATGACATCTTTTGGGCCACACAACCGGCGGTGGCTGAACCTGCACCATGCTGTTTGCCCGTGTGCGCAGTGGATGGGTGTGTTTTGCTTTTTGCTGGTTGTTGAAATTAAACAGGGTTCTTCAGACTCTTGGGCTCAGCAGATGCCACGCATGTCTGCATGACATGTAGGTGGGGATTGATTAAAAAATAAAAAAAAAAAAACAACAGGCCCCCAATTGACCATGGCTAACTTTTCCCCTTCAGTTTTTTCGGGGTTCCCTGATGGTCATCCCATGTAAAGGGTCTTTTGATCAACCCCCAGGTATCTTTTTGTGTCAAGTGATGGCGCGAGACCATGGCTGAGCGCCCAGTCTCTAGATACATCCAGCGCCGAGTTCCCGTGAGCCCGGAGACAGCGCCCACGTCGCCTCCGGCCTTGACCGCTCCGACTGCTCTTTCCACGAAGAGGTCTACGCACCATTGACAGGCTTAAAAACTTGCTTTTTTTCTTCACCTTCTTTTGGGTTTGCCTTCATTTTCCATTGCCAGAACTTAATGATTAACTTCTGCCGTTCTTTTTGCTGGACTTTGCCCCAGCTGAACTTCCTTCCGCTCACGACGCACGAAAACCGCGAATTTGTGCAAAGGTTTAGCCCCTTCAGGCACGGATTGTCAGACCTCAATTCGCGTGTTTGCCTTTCTGGCTTTCCATCATCTCCCCTCAAACCTCAACCCCCATTAAAAGAAAGGTTGACCCACTTTGACAATCTTTAGGCAAGTCATTTTTTCTTAATCACATGAGCCTCCATTGTTGTAAATGGTGGTGGCTGAATCCAAGGGTTTCCCTTTTCAGCGGCCAAGGAGTTGCCATTTGGCTGTGGGTCAAAAATATGTGTCCAACATGGAACCCCGATAAATGGAGATAAGGACTAAACCTGGGGTCTTCTCATGTTTAATTTTGACCCATACCCCCGTGGCTTTGTCGTTCTTGAAGGTCTTTTGGGGTGGCTCACTTGCCCACCTGAACAAATAAAGGCTAACCTTTTGGAATATGGACCAAATATGGACCCTAACCTTTTGGAATATGGACCGAAATTTTGGTCTAAGAGTGGTTTTCTCGTGGTTTGCTTTGACCCATAGTCATTTTGGTCTAGCCCATGGCCCAGGTACTTGGCTCGCCGTATGGCGCCGGAACCCGAGGCAACCGAGGCAGAGGAGCCGAGCGAGCCAGCCACGCGGAAGGTGCCGTACCCCGCGCGGCGCACGTGGCCAGAAGCGGCGGCCGGAGCCCCGCGCTTGAGCTTCGTGGACTTTGGTGTGGACGCCACTTGCCGGCTATTCGGTTGGATTTGTAGTTGAATTGTTTGTTTTTGTTGGTGTGTGTGCTGTCTTTGGTTCTATGTTGTTTCTATGGTTTTGTCTTTTTCTTCCTTTTTTTTTTGGGGGGGGGGACATGGGTGGTTCCAACTGGAGCTACTTTTTGGCAGAGACAACAACCAAGGCCAAAGGGACTGGAGGAAGATCTGTCCGAGGCTCCATCCATGGCGAGGGACAGCATGTGATGCATACCCTCGAAGAACTCACTGCTGAAAGGGACATAGAACCGTCCATCAGTCCGGAGCGAGTGCTGCTGAATATCTACGACCCTGGGCAACATGTTATGATCTTCCGTTTTTGCTCTTGGCAGAAATGATGAGCCCAGAAAATCTCGAAATCCACTGGTCTTTGGTGTGACCTGAGCCCTGTAAACCTTTTGGAAACACATACACGTTTCCCTGAAACCTAGCAGAGGCTGGTGGACGTTCTTGCGCGTTTCAGGGCCTTCAGGGGAGGGCCTAGCTGCACATCTGAGGACCTGGGGGACAGCAACGCCATCCAGCGCCTCAACGTCTTGTTGAAGCCCTTGGGCGGAGGTGCCTTTCATGCGGCGGTGCAGCTGCAGCCAGACATCCGGATTTTCCGACCGATGGGGCGGACTCGGTTTCATGCAGAGTACGAATTGTACCCCGAGCGGACCGAATGGCACCCTTTCCCATAAAGTCAGGGTGGCCACGGTTCGATCCTGTTCGGTTTTCAGACGCCTCTCGTGGAATTGTGTTCGGTTCGGAATCTTCTTTGGAATCTGATCGGCTCGGTGAATGCCCGGCTGATTGGTTTTTGCGTGGGGCGCTGGAGCAGGGCATGGCAAGCAGGGGGATCCTTTTACAGTGCGGGGCTCTTCGCCCGCCGGTTACGAACTTCCATGGCCCTCCCGGTGCACTACTCCCTCCCCCCCCTCCCCCCCCCTTCCCCCCCACACAGGACTGATGAAAGTGAAGGTTTTGGGGGGAGTTTTCAGCATTACTTTTGGGCAAACTGTGGTTTCATCACCGGGGAAAGGCGGCGGCGGTTTTCCCATTGTCTTCATGGTTTGAAGGCTACCTTCCGGCATGGAACTCCCACCATTTGAAGGGTCGTCCCCCTGCCTGCTGCCGCAGAACTCCTCAGAGGGGTATGGCGAAGGGCAATTCCTCTGGAAGAATGGTGCGCGGCTTGCAACATGTCCCTACAGGTTGAACCCAAACAGCAGCTTGTATCAAGTTGCCTGATAGTCTTTGGGTTCATTCTGCCAAAGTGGAACGCTCTAAATCCCTCTTTGTTTCGACGGGACCCGCCCGCCGTCTCCACCTTTAGGGTGGCCTCAGGTACGGCGAGGAGTGGAGCTTCGGGGGCCTCTGCGCCGGCGATGATCCGGAGGACGGCTTCGAGACAGGTACTTTGGGAAGGCAATCCTTTCTTTGGTGCATTTTGCTTGGTGCATTTTGCTTGGATGCTAGGACTATTATTGTTTTTTGCCAACAAAGTGGTTTTTTCCGTATTAAACCACTAAAAGTTAGTCACTTTTAGCAGGGGAGCAGAAATCAAGAGCTTTGACCAAACCAATTTCGGGCACAGCTTGCTGATGCGCTAGGTAGGCCATGAGGGAATGGACCCGGGGATTCCCTTAAAGAAAACCACGAGTTGGATGGTTTTTAGGGGTCATTCCCTCATTCCGTGCTGAGCGCCAGCAAGATGCTTGACATACGGCATACATTGCCATGCCAAGCTCGTGTCCAAACCAGACATGGGCGGGGGGGAGGGGTGGTTGCGGCCACCCTTCGATTCTGTACATGGCTTTGGGTAGACCATTTTCATGCCAGGTGTTGATTGAAACTGGTAGCGACACATAGGCTCAACTCGCATTGCCCGTTTGCCCTGGATTTCCAATTGTTTGCCCTTTGCACGAAAAATCTGGCCAAGAACAGGACTTGGATTTCGCCTGCATGGAAAGGCCAACATCCCTGGTGATTGTGCCGTGACTTTTGATATCAGTTCCAACTTGAGGTCAAAACCATTGATTTAACTGGCTGATATCCGGAAATGAGCAAATCAGCAAGGGATGGCCATTGTACCATGACTAGGTCCCCCAGTGGTGCCCTTTTACCCTTTTTTTTTTGGGGGGGGATTTTTCCCTTACTAAAATAGACAAACCAGGAAAAAGTTGGTAGCAACTTATTCGAACCTCTCAAATCTGGAGGACCCAGATGAGCAACATGCCTTATAGGCCGGTGCCAATTCCCCCCCCCAGCCAGCCTCGATCGCACCTAGGCATTTGGAGCTCTGCTCCGCAAACCTGCCGGCAGCACACCTTCCGGGAGAGCTTGGTACTGGGACCCACTGCCCTGTCGCACCGGGAGGTCTTGCAACTCGGCGTGGCGTTTTTTTGCGGTGTCCGATGCCACCCACTTCAACTTATTTGCGAGGAGGATCTTGCTTTTAGTGCTTCTCTTATATCTTCACTTACTCCTATGTTGTTCTTTCTTTTTTCTGTGAACACATTGTGACATCGTGTGAGAATCGTTGTTACTGGTACGTGAGCTGTGTACATTTCTGTTGGCCAATCCACTCGGGAACTGACGCAACAAATAACACGAGCATTTATATTATATATTAGGGCCAGCTGAATAATTGCAATATGAAGCAGAACCCCCAATAAGGTGGAAACGGGGAGGAGGAGCCCGTTGGTTGGACAAGCGTCCAGGTCCACAATGGCATCACCAATAGCCATGCCATTCCAGTGGAGTGAAATGGGGGGTAGAAGGTTTCATGATGCTTTGCTGGCACATTCTTCGGGATTCTGTGGCGGACTGCTAGATTTGCGAATTCGAATCAGTGTTGATGAGTCATTGCCCTTGCTGGGGTCCCTGCGTCTCAGGGAGCTGGTTTACGAGATGTCGGAGGATTGGCCCATGAACAGCTACGACCTGCTGCGCCGGAATTGCTGCCACTTCTGCGATGAGCTCTCCTGCTTGCTGGGGGTGGGGCCCTTGCCCGATTGGGTTTTGAGCCTTGGTTACTCTTGAGTTCGGCATTTTTTCCCCCTTGCTCTTGACACACGCATTTTTCCCACAAGCCATGAACAAGCTTGACTGTTTGTTGTAGACCACCGGGTGGCCTACCCAGGAACCTGGCAGGCGTTGGGGCCATACTTGATGACGGGATCTCCCAAGTGACCTCCAAACTGCGCGCGGCCGCGAACAAGTTCAAAGTGACCCGTGGCAACGTGCCACCAGCTGCTGGCCAAAAAACGGAGCGAACAGGAGCTACTGAGTTTCTGGTTCCCTTGCCCCCGGTTGCACAACTTGCTGTCTGGACTACGCATCTGTTGGGTGCGGCGAGGCTATCATTGAATCCCTGTCGAAAGGCAGATGTAAACCGGAAGTGTGCCACTAACATTTGAGGGAACAAGGGCTCCACGCAGATGGATACCTGCAAGACGTGCCTTCTTCAAATTGACGAGATTGCTTCACCGGCCATTTGGAAGGCTTCGGGCTTCGGCGGGAGAGCTGGGCCCTAAGTGATACGAGGAAGGTAAGTGGAAAGAACAAAATTGGACCACCCCCCATAAAAAGCCAGGTCCCCCCAGTAGTGCCCTTTTACCCCCTTTTTTGGGGGAGAGTTCCCCCACTAAAATGGACTACAGAGAAAAAGGGTAAGTATTCTAACCCCTCTCCTGGAGGACCTAGAAAAAGAATTTGCTTGCAAGTCCGAATTTCAGTGGAATGAACCTTTATTTTTCTACACTTATACAATCATAACTGTCATACCCCAAAAAGAGGTTCCTCTCAAATGGCGGCTTTCAGCGTTCCACGGCACTCTGTCGCACAGCTACGGTTGAGTGAGCGTGAGGCACAATTCCCCCTCCCCCATTTTGGTCTAGTCATTCTCCGTGTGAGGGGAAGTGTGCGATCTACTTGCAGCCTGGACTTTTTACTTAGGAAGAGCATTCAAGTGGCAAAGAGTTAAACTCTTTCGGCCACTCAGGAAGTGAGGGGTAGGGATGGACACGTCTTTCGTACGCCGCGACTTCCGACTGGGCGTCCTTTTGGCCCCAGCGTTGCCCTGCAGTCCTGCAGTCCTGCTGCCGGCAGGTGGGATGGGAAGGGCCTTAGGGGGGAGGGCGTTTCAGGCTCTGCCGGTTGAGAAAAAGCCTTTTGGTTGGCTTTAAATGGGGGGCTGGGAGGGGGGGGGGAAGGGGGAGGGGGAGTGGGGAAGTGGGGGCTGGGAGGGTGGGGGCGAGGGGGGGAAGGGTTGAAGGGGGGTCAATGTGCCATTTGAGCTGGTTAAGCAAGAATTTGGTGGTCACATGTGCCAAGTGACCCCTTCACGGGTTTTGGCCAATGGATCAACTCCACTGTTTCGTACAAGGCCTTGACTCACGAGAGGTGACTTCAAGAGGGGCAATGCGATCCTAAAGCTTGCCATGTTCCATGGCGTTTTTTTCGAAGGATTCGAGATGGCGCAGGAGCCTGGTTGCCAGGGGTTGCTTCAAGTGAAGCAGTTTCCCGTCACGTCACGGCCTGCCGGACACGGGACCGCCCCCTTTTCACCAGCAAAGGTGCCGAATTCATCGGAATGGCAGCCACTTGAGACCTCGGCGCTCGCCAGCCGTTCTTGCTCATGGGGCACTTGGTTCACGTGAGGTTCGGTGAAGATGTGCAGTCCATGGATCTAGACATTGGGGGGGTCCATACCCCTTCGATAAGGGGTGGGGGGGTTTGTTGTTCGGGGGGGGGGTTCGAACAAAAAGTGGGGGGGGGGGGGGTTCTCCAAACTTTCTCGCAAGAACGAGGGGGACTCGCGAAGCTTCCTAGTGCTACTAGGTTTTCGAGTAGTGCCCTTCCACACTTGTTTGGGGGAGAGTTCAAATTCCCCTGCTAAAGCAGACTACAGAAAAAAGTTGGCACCCTTATTCTAACCTCTCTACTGGAGGACCTAGCCTAGGTATTTCGGCCATGGCCCACATGCCGTGGACTCCCGGCCTTTCTCGGCCGTTCCATTCCACATTTTTCGGCGCGACTGCGAGCATATCCCGGGCGCCTCAGAGAGCACCTGATGCCAGAGTTGTGGTCGCATCCCTGGCCGTTGCCGCTCGTCTATTTGAGCAGCTGTGGTTTCCAAGGGGGGATGCCCCAATCAAAACCTATGGAGGGAGCGGATGCTCAGAATTGTGCAGTGACAGATCTGTCATTGAAATTCGGAGTCGGGGGTTGGGTTGACCCCTAGACTTTCATATATACATTTCTTCCTTTTGTGGAGTGGAATAGATTTTTGACAACTGGGGGAGCCACCGCACTTAAAGTATGGCGAATGTTTTAAGTGCGACTGAGATTGGCCGACAGGTGCCAGGTGGTTAGTGCGAATGCCACTCATTTTGCAGCAAAACACAATGTCAAGCCGTTTTTGCCCCCCCCTCAGGAAGTGAGACATGGCTCATAGCACAGTTTTCTTTTTGGGTGGGGGGTGGGGGGTGGGGGGTGGGGGGGGGGGGTGTATCGCTGAGTTAAGCTCAGCGACAGGGAGCCAATGCCAACACCAGTATGGCATCGCAAGTTGGACAGATTGATAGCGACAATGGGCTCATATGATCCATCAAGTTGGGGAGTAAGCTGGATAAGCAATTCCAATTGCAGTATGTAACATATATATATATATGTGTGTGTGTGTGTTTCGTAAGGTCAAGGCGTCCAGATCACGCTCCTTAACCTGCTGCCGGTCAGCTCGGCGTGCTGAGAAAACGACCCACCTTTTGGTGGACGGAGACTGCCACAGCATTGATACCATTCAGTCGGCAATCGGCAGCTTGAAGCAGGAGCGAAAGGCTGTTTACACCACCTTGTTTGCTGCGCCGGAAAAGGTGCAAAATACACATTGGGCGCAGTTGTGTGATACTCCTGGCGTTGAGTTTTGCGCAGTGCCACGTGCTGACCACCCATCAAAGGAGGCAAATGATGAGGCGATAATCTCTAGATTGCGCAGTTTGGCAGGGCAGCCAGATATCGCCGGCATTGTTTCTCACTTCCTGAGTTCATGAACTTTAAGCTTTTTGGGAAGACCATTTTAGTGGTAAATATACAGTTTGGACTTTTTTTTGGGCCATCCACTCAGCGTATGAGGTTTTGTTAACAATTGACACGGACTTCGTGGAGCCCCTTCTGGGTGCCAAGCAATGTGGACAGCTGCTGGGAGCTTGCATACCGGAGCGCCACTACAACGTAGTGAAGCGATACCGACGGGCCGGCATTTCTGTGCGCGAGCTGCCGCAGGGAGGATCTGGGTCCAAGGTTTCATGGTCAGACTGAGCTAAAATATTTGGAGACATTTTACATTTGCCTTCTTGGCTAGGTCCCCCAGTAGTGCCCTTTTACCCCTTTTTCTGGGGAGGGTTCCCCTACTACAATCGACCACAGAAAAAAGGGTGCCCTTATTCTAACCTCTCTACTGGAGGACCTAGTGGGTGTTCCTTCATGTCCCTTTTCCACGAGTTGTTGTGCCTTTGCAGCTCTAAGTCTGGCTCAGGTTCGAGCAGTTCTTCATGAAGATGGAACCGGCAGCGTTCGAAAAGCCGAGACTTATTGTCCGGTCGAGAACGCGGCTGGTGCTGAGCTGGTGCGCGACAAACTCAGGTCTTTGGGTTTCGATTGCTCAAAGGACGCGACATCGAAGAACTTTCTCATTCAATCCGCCGCCAAGTTCTGGTACTCAAATCAGTTAGGCCCCCTTACTGTGTATCCTTTCCAACTGGCAACGCTAGCGGCGCATGACCTGCTAGTGCAAAGCCGCCGCAGGGCTTCATTCAAAGCATCCCAGGGTGAACTAGCATTTCTTTTGCCAGTAACTCCGAACCGGACTTCAAAGCTGCAGTATGGGAGCTCGTTGGCGCGGGCAGTGTATGAAGGCGGTGGCCCCTGTATGCTGGAGGACGTTGATTTGATAGCACGCGCCTTGCGCAAACTGGGTTACGGAGAAGGCCGTCACCCTGCAGAACTGGCGGAGTCCATGTTCCTTCCCCAGAATTAGTTCCCCTTCTTTCTTTCTTTTTTGGCTTTTTGGGGGTTCCCTTGGTTGTCCACCAGCAAGCCCCAAAAAATATATTTTTGGGGTCCTAGTTCCAGCCAAGGTTCATTTTCGCCAACACCGGCATAAACAAGAAGACGTTGCGGAAAATGGGCCTGCTGCCCTGCCCTGACGATCAAGAGTTCGATGTCGCCAAGAAGCTCCGGGCAGCATTCCTATCTCATGAGACGCACGGGATGTGGCAGCTTGCGTCCGCAGATAGTCACAACTTGCGGGGCCTTCTTCGAAAGGAAGGCTGCCTCCGCCTGTCAAAGCCTGGCGATAAGGTCTCGGGTGAGGAGCTGAAAGATGCAATGCTGAGGTTCTCTGCGAAGCACCGCCTTCCGCGTATGCGCACCCTGCAGGGCCTCGTCTGGCAAGTGCTGCGCCACGTGAACCGCAAGAACCCTGAAAAGACGGGCGAGGCTGACTTCATCAGGTCGCAAGCAGAAAATGGAAAATGCCGTCTCAGGGCCACCTTGCGCAGATTGACTTCCGAGCAATTTGCTTGAGTGACATGCTCGGAGTTGTCTAGACTGGACCTGCTTCAAAGAGAGGGGTGCAAATGATGCTTAGTTAGTCTAGTTGCCCAGACATAGCAAGCCTTTTGAACGTGTGGTGTTTTGGTTTAAATGCCGTTCACGATGAAAAGTGACAAGAACAGCTTGGTTGCTGCTCCTGCTTAGCTTAGAACTCCCAGCCTCATCATCAAAGGCTGAATGGACCCTGAACCCTGATTTTGGGAGATTGATCCACCGATCCACTATAGCAGAAATTGTGGGAGGCAGTGACCAAAGGGCTCGAAATGGCCGCTGGATCACATTCCGAATTTTGCTTGGCATGCACCGCAGGTTAAAGAGATTCTGTCAGATCTTTCCGGCCTGCGCTTGATGCGAAGCCTGAGACAAAACTCATGTATCACCAAGCCAAGGCAACTTCCCAATGCTGTCATGCCAAATTCAGGCATAGGGTCACGCAAAGGAGCTGCTCCACCTCGCGCTTGGTTGTTGCCCGGACACCTTCAGTCAGGCAAACATGGGAGCAGACCCTGACAGCTTCCCTTGAGATTGTGTCGAGTTTCCCGACCTTTCGTTGTTGGATGTGGCTGCAGGAAGGTATCAGCTTGCGCGTTCTCGCTTGTAGATGTGTTTCGGTGATGACCCGACTCCATTTTGACATACAGCAGATGGACGAAATCCTGCACCACTTTGAACCAAGGGAAACCATTGGTTGTTGGTATTTGCAGGGGAATCATCTTCCAGGGTTTCGTGGGTGGTGCAGGATTTTGTCCATCCACAGTAATAGGGCGTCCAGCGGCTTTGGCTTACCGTGCTTCTCCCACATGTGGACTTGTAGCCTTACTTCTGGGCGCTGGCATGGCGTGGCGATATTCGGCAGGACTGCCCCCAGGAGCGCATGCAGGGCGCAGCTGGGCAGAGCAAAAGAGGCGGCCAGAGCTGTAGCCGCATCCTTCCTGGCCATTGCTGCAGCTTGGCTACTTAGGTCTTCCAGTAGGCACCCCTTTTTTGGTTGGGAGGGTTCCCCTACTAAAATAGACCACAGAAAAAAGGGTACCCTTATTCGAACCTCTCTACTGGAAGACCTAGGCAAGAATGCCTAAACTATTAGAGGCTGCCCTCTTAAACAAAATATGGAATTGTGAGAGGCGCGTGACCCCCAGAGTTCCATTTTCTACAATAGAGGCCCTATCATAGGGGGTGTAACATCATATGCAGCCATGCGGGGGCCCAAGAGAAGCAAATCCAAAGTGAACAAAACACTCTAGATTTTGTGGAGAAAATAGGTTCAAACAGGGATCCTTACATTATACAACTGAACATTGCCTTGTAAATGGTGGTGTTCCTTTATTTTGGTGGAAAATGCAATGTTTCAAATGTGCAAAATGTATCTTTTGAGGAGCCCTGTTCAAACAAATATGTTTTTGGGGGACTCCATGGACATTTTAACTAACGTTTGTTTGTCTTGTCCAAAAATTTTAGTACTCACGTACTGAAAAGGGGCGCATCGCCGGGAGAGTTCCATTCACGTTCCATGCATCTAGTGTTTTCACGCAGGATCACGTGACTGCGTTGGCCCTCTATTGTGGAAAGTGTTTTGCCGGGGAAAAATGCCGAACACAAATTCCGGCACACAACAACTGGCCAAAAAGTCGGGCAACAAAACGGGAAAACAAATCCGGGCAAACACTAGCAAATCATTTTTGTTCCCAAACCATCACATTCCAGATAACTTCTTCACAGAAATGTGAGGGCAAACAGTCACACAAAGGGGGTTGCACACAAGAGGCCCTGATCCTCTTGAATATGAGTGTCTTGAGGTCCTCTTTAGTGTCCATCTGTTTGGGAGGGTTTCTGAAATTTCCAAATCAAAGCTGTAAATGATGGTTCTCCGAATCCCCGAGCCAAGCTCTGCTTTGGATCCAGGAATCCATTTTGCAAGTGGCCCCCAACCGTCACAGTTAAGAAAGATTGCTTATTCACAAAGAAGTAAGGACATCCAGTCACACAAAGGGGGCTGCCCGGCCCTGATCCTCTTTAATGTGGCTGTTTTGGGGTCCTCTTTCGCGTCCAACTTGTTTGGGGGTTGCCGAAAAATCTGGCTCTTCCCAGCTAAATCAGAATCAGCAATACAAAGAGGGTCCCGGTGACTGATTCCATTCAGGGGAGGTGGGGTCACATTGAAGAGGGTGCAACATTACAGCACACATCACTATGAACCGACGTCACCCAGGTGAGGACGCCCAGGTTTCGCTCCTCAACCTGCCGGTCAGCCCGGCGTGCCACGAAAAGGACCCACCTATTGGTGGACGCCGATTGCCACAGCATCGACGACATTCAGTTTGAAATCAGTCGATTGGAGCAGGGGCGAGAGGCTATTCGCACGACCTTGTTTGCTGAGCCAGGAAGGCTGCGGAATCGCAGTTGGGCGCAATTTTGTGATACTCCTAGGATCCGGTTTTGCGCGGTGCCGCGTGCCGACGACCCATCAAACGAAGCAAATGATCAGACAATTATCTCTAGACTGCGCTGCTTGGCCGGCCAGCGCAATATTGCCGGCATTGTTCTGATGACTAGCGACACGGACTATTTGGGGCCACTCTTGTCTGCCAAGCAATGTGGACAGCAGGTGGCTGCTTGCATACCCGAGAGCCACTACACAGTGGTGAAGAGATACCAGCGGGCTGGCATTTGTGTGCACGAGTTGCCGGCTCAGCGAAGGAAAGGGGGATCTGGGCCCAAAGTTCGAGCAGTTCTTCATGCAGATGGGACTGGCAGCATCCATACAGCGGAGTCTTACTGTGCCTTTGACAACTCAACTGGTGCTGAAGTGGTTCGCGACAAACTCAGGCGTTTGGGCTTTGATTGCTTTGATGGAACTGATGGAACCTCTAACTTTCTTCTTCAATCCGCTGCAAAGTTCTGGTACTCAAATAAGCTAGGCCCCCTTACGGTCTTTCCTTCCCAACTGGCAACGCTGGCAGTGCATGACGTGCTAGTGCACAATCGCCGGTTGGCTTCATTCAACGCCTGCCAAGAGAGGCTTGCGTTTCTTTTGCCCGTGTCTGCGACCCGGCGATCAAAGCTGCAAGAATATGGAAGCTCGCTAGCGCGTACTGTTTATTTTGGCGGTGGACCATGTGTGCTGGATGACGACGATGATTTGACAGCTCGTTGTTTGCGCAAACTGGGTTACGAGAACCATAACGATGCAGACCTGGAAGAATCCATGCTAGTATTCGCCAACACCAACAGGAACAAGATTACATTGAGAAAATTGAACTGGCTGCCTTGCCCTGATGACAAAGCATTGGATATTGCAAACAAGCTCCGAGCAGCGTTCCTTTCTCATGAGACTCAAGGGTTGTGGCAGATCGCATCCACAGATAGCAGCTATTTGCGGGTCTTTCTTCGACAGGAAGGCTGTCTACACTTGCAAGGGCCTGGCGTAGAGGTCTCGTGTGAGGAACTCAAAGATGCGATGCTGAGGTTTTCTGCAAAGCACCACCTTCCACCTATGCGCACCCTGCAGGGGTTGGCCTGGCAAGTGTTGCGCCGTGTCAACCGCAAAGACCCCGCAATGACAAGTGAGGTTGGTTTTGTCAGGTCGCGGGCATGATGTGTCCTCGTTGGAAAACGCTGCTCCGCAGCCGCCTTGCATTGCCAGAGCACGTGGTAAGATGCGTCGCGAGGATTTCCGGTGCCATTCAAATTGCCCGAGAGATTGATATACTCAAAGTTGATTTGGCTAGACCTTCCTGAAGTAAGGTTGCATCCTGGCGCTAGGCCCAGTTGTTTTGGTTGTCTCCCCTTTCACGATCACAGGTGCTTGTTTAAGGAACCTTTTTTGGGGTTGTTTGAAAGGGGGACCAAAGGGAAACTATCCATTTTGGGGTGAGGAGACATGCGTCTACGGACCCTGATTCATTGGAACAAAAGGTGCGCTTGAACATGCGCCCGGATCAATAAATAGTCCTCTGATGATTGATGGCAAACAGATGTTCCATTTAAGAGGGTTTATGAACCCCATGGCGGATATTGCTTTGCAAGCCTCAGCAATGAGGGTCTGCGCCAACTGCAACAAGCCTGATTGCATGCACTCACATTTGAACCCCCTTTGTGACTGTTTTCATCTGTTTTCCAAGACATAGTGCATTAAAACCAAAACGTACCTTCACATTGCACTAGGGCGTGTCAAACTTGCAGACCTGCCGTTGGCAGCATCAGACTGTTGGAGACTGGCAAGCCCCCACGCAACAACCATACCATTTGGGGGTTGAGGTCTATTAAAGACTCCCGCCAGTACAGGTTCATTCATTTGGCGTGCCCTAACCCAAACCCAAAAAGCCAGTCGACTACCATCCTTGCTGTTGTTTCTTGCGGAGAGGCATCCTAGGTGGCAAAGACCTCAGTCGGGGCATCCCCTGCCGAACAGGGTTGAACAGAGGTCACAGGCAGGCCATGCCCAGGCGTTTGCAGCAGAAGGTGTGGTTTGTCCGCATGTTCCACGTGGTCTGCACGCCTGGAAGTTGCAAAGACAAATTTCGCCTTCCGCGTCGGATGTTGCAAATGGGTTTGTGTCGAAGCAGCATCTTTGCGATTCAAATCGGCGCTACTCCGCCGTCAAAGGGCCGTTAGCCGGAAGTTCCAACGCTTCGTCTAAGACATGGCTCACTGCGTCGCAATAATCTTGAAGCCTTCTCAGTGTGCAGGATGGTCCACTGGACTGTTGGCATTTGCATGTTGCTTTTGCTTCCCGGGACTTAGGAGAATTTATTGATTTCCCACAAAATCCAGGGGGTTTCACAAATTGTTGCATGTCCTGTATCCTGTCTAGAAGCCACGCGTTGTGACCGTGGCAATGTGGAGCAGCCCTGCTTGTAGACCTTGCCATGGCCGGTTGTCAGCACTGGGGCTTGGACTGCCCCAAGAAGCAAGTCCAGGGTGGCAAGTGCAACGAGGGCTATCAGAGTTGCCGCCTCCTCCCTGGCTTTTGCTACTTGGCTATATATGGGCTATATGCCGCAGGTCCGCGCAATTGACATCTGGAGATCCGGGGGGGGGGGGGGGCGGGGGCGGGGGCGGGGCTTGAGCCAGAGAATCTAGTTTAACTTTCTGCCTTCCTGTCTGTGGAAAGAACCCAAGGGTTCTAGAACTTAAGGACTTCCAACCCCATGCCCCCAATGGTACGAGGTCTTGGGCTTGCAGCAGAACTTTCGAGGAACGGATGGCTCTGTTTCCTGCGCCTGTGCTGCACTGACTTGTGCATGATGGAGCTGCTAAGCTGCTAAGTACTCGCAGCTGCGTTGCGCTAGCTCCTGCCAAGCCAGGTCAGATTGCACCACAAAGGTCCAACACTGATGCCTCTAATTGCAGACCAACGCTTTCGTAATTCACTGCTACATAATGCCTGGAATTGCGGAGCTAGGTGCGCTGAATTGAGCTGCCTAAGCCCTGCGAGAAAGGCATGAATCCCTGTCTTGGACGGGGCACACAGATTTCCTTAAATTCGTGAATCTCCTGGTTTCTTGGGATGGGGCCTGTTTTTCAACAAATCCCAGAACAACCGACTGGTTGCGGAAGATGTAATTGGCAACAAACTGCAAGCAAATTGAAAAGGCGGGCCGGGTTAGCGGCAGGCTTTCAAGACGTAACACCAAAATACTTGTCTAAATCGGGTATTTAAGTTGGTCAGCCGGGCTGGCCGTAACACTGTCGAAGGTAGTGTAAAATCTTTGTTAACCTATTTAAGGGTCCGGGTGTTTAAGTGGCGACACCGTAATCTGTGGAACTGGGTGGGAGCCGTCAAGCAGCTGGTCCGAAAACGAGGTGGTCAGCGGGCCACGACGCTAGCCAAAGTGACCTAGAAAGGTTTTACGTGAGGCGTGGCCCATTGAATTGTGTGGCCCAGATGCTGAGAGGAAGAAACTGCGAGATGCTGGCAGGGATGCCTCCGTGATAACAGACGTGAGAGAGAGAGAGGCTAGGAAATAACAAGGCGACAATGAATGCAAGGCGCAGGGAGCTGGAACCTCTGTGGCCAGCGCTTTCCTTGGGTACAGTTGGTCAGCGCAGTGGGTCAGCACATGGTCAGCTTCCGCGGAGCTATGAGGCCACTGTAACTGTGCTAAAAGTAGCACGAGTTACGTTCCAGCGGCAGGCTCTTCGGAGTAACAAAAGATTGGGCGCGGCCCGCGGTCATTTTCCTTTTTTGCCGGCGACTAGTTTGCGCGCGGTAGTGCTTTTTGCTAACATTGTTGAAAAGCAGTCTGACATGATTAAGACCGTTGCGGCCCACACTTTCCGCTTCAAAGCGCCACGCTTGGAATTCTGCATTCATGGCCGTTTCAGTTTGACAACCTGACCAATGCGTTAGTGCTCACAGGTTCAGGAATGTTCAGTGACGTGGCAATTCACAGCACTTTCCGTTGCATGTGCGCGCCTGCTCCTCCTCCCCCGCCAAAAAATGAAACAATAACGGTCGGTCTACGTGATTGGATTCCATTCTGGTAGCAACCACTTGAGCTGTTTTCCTGGGGCAGGTGCGCGTGTTTCGTTGTGGCTGCCTGTGCCAAGTTTTGCTGGCCGGGATGTACAACACGGATACGCCATGCCAGCCTCTGTAGATTGCATTAAGTAGCGCGTATTCTGCGTGCCACGGATTGCTCGTGGCGCTTGTTAGTTGACGGCCATTTGGTGTTGGCGTGTTCAATGCTTTTAAACCGTCCACGTGTCAGCGGAATCTCTGTCAGACATCCCTCAAAGCCAGGTGACAGCACCCAGGTTTCGCTCCTCATCAGCCAGGCGAGCCGAGAAAACGACTCGATGACGTTCAGTCTGCAATAAGCCTCTTGAAGCAGGAGCAGGGTTTGCTGCTCCGGGAAGGCTGCAGAACCAGAATTGGGCTCAATTCTGCGATGCTCCCGGCATTGTGTTTTGCGTGCAGACGACCCATCAAACGAGGCAAATGATGAGACTATTGTCGCTAGAATGCATGCCTTGGCGGGGCAGCCAGATATTGCCGGCATTGTTTTGTTGACGATTGACACGGATATTTTGTGGAGCCACTTTTGGGTCTCAAGCAGCGTGAACATCAGGTTGCCGCCTGCATACCTGAGAGCAATCATTACCTCGCAGTGGAGAGGTACCAACGGCCAGGCATTTGCGTGCACAAGCTGCCGGCTCTGTAGAAGGGGGAACTTTGGGCCCAAGGTTCGAGCAATGCAGATGGGACTGGCAGCGTCCATACAGCGGAAGCTTACTGTTCCTTTGACAACTCAACTGGTGCTGAAGTGGTTCGCGGCAAACTCAGGCGTTTGGGCTTTGATTTGCTTTGGTGGAACCTCTAAGAACCTTCTTCTTCAATCTGCTGTCAAGTTCTGGTACTCAAATAAGCTTGGTCCCCTTGCGGTTTTCCCACTCAACTAGCTACGCTGGCAGTGCGTGATGTGCTAGTGCAAAGTCACCGCTGGGCCTCGCTTAAAGCATGCCAAGCTCATCTTGCATTTCTTTTGCCGGTGTTTGCGCGCCGGGAAGAAGGAAATCAAAGCTGCAAAAGTATGGGGGCGCGTTGGCTTGGACAGTGCACGAGGAAGGCGGCCCCTTCGTGTTGGCGGATGATGATGATTTGACAACACGTGCTTTGCGAAAACTGGGATATGCCAATGCTCGCAATGAAGACCTGGAAGAATTCATGTTCATTTTTGCCAACACCGCCGGAAACAAGACTACACAGAGGAAAATGAGCTTGCTGCCTTGCCCTGATGATCAAGCATCGGACGTTGCAAAGAAGCTCCGGGCGGCATTCATATATCTAATGAGACTCAAGGGCAATGGCAGATCGCATCCACAGACAGCACCTCTTTGCGGATCTTTCTTCGACAAGAAGGTTGTCTACACTTGCAAGGCCCTGTCTCGCGTGAGGAACTGACAGATGCGATGCTGAGGTTTTCCACGAATCACCACCTTCCGCGTATGCGCACCCTTCAGGGACTGGTCTGGCAAGCGCTACGCTATTCACACAGCCAAGACCCTACGAGGAGCGGTTAGGCTGATTTCATGAGGTCGGGGACGTGAGGTGCCCCCTTGCAAGTTGGAACAACTGTTTCACGGCCACCTTGGTGCGTCGGACAAAAATGCGTGGCAGGATGTGTTCATGTCCTTTGTAGGGCTTTTGTTCGGATGTGCTTAAAGTTTCTTAAATGGTTTGCTCTTGCTCAGGCTAGACCTGCTCAAAGTGGAGGGGTGCACAAGCTGTCTGTGATGTGATGTTGAATTGCTCAAGCAAAGCCAGATGTTTTGCACGATTGCCGGCTTGAGGCCGAAGTGTAAGCACTTGCGCTTTGACTCCGAGCCCCATCCTGCTTGGCACGAACCTTGTGACGAGATGCCACAAGTTCTATTCGACCTTTGAACACTTGATTCGGGGAAGGATGGGGCCTGCGTTCGCTGC